GGGTATGGGGCACACGCGCTGGCCCTGTCCCAGCTGAGCCTCTGCCTCAGGGCATCTCCTTTCCTTGACTCTATGTCCCCCGGTGCCACCTCCTGGAGCTGCCTCGGCCCTGTGCTCGCTGCGGAGGGGCCTGGAGGCAACTTTCAGCAGCCTCTTCTCCTCCTTATCCCCCTTGGCACCCTGGAGCACCCCCTTGCTGAAGCCCAAGACCCTCCGTTGCTGCCAGCTGCCGCCTGGAACCGCTTCTCTAATCCTCTTCCCACCCTGCCAGGTTAATCTGGGATTTGCCTGCCTGGGCGATGAGGAATTAAAGAAACTCCCTAATCAGGAGGAGTTGGTTTCTTCATCAGCTCGAGCGCGGGTGGGTCCCCTTCACACGCAGTTGCCCTTTGATGCCATCGCGGGAGCAGCCTCTCCCTGGCAGGAGCCCAGCAGGGCTGGTGCAAGCAGGAACCCAGGGCTTGGGGGGTCAGGCACAAGCTGAGCAGGGGCATCGCTCACCTGCCCCCGGGGAACACGAAGGAACAGGATGGGGCAGTAAACGGTACTTTATTGAGCCCACTTTGCAGACACAAACCCGCCCCGAGCGCAGGAACAACCTCCCACCAGGCCAGAGCCCAAGTCTGAGGTCGATGAGATGCAGAAAGCTGCATCCCAGGGGCCCAGCAGGAACTCCACAGCCTTGGGAAAATGGTCCTCAATATTTACAGTAAGTCCCATCTTTCTGCTGCTCTCACAGGACCAGTCTCGTTGTCTCCTCCAGCCCCAGCAGCTGGATGCAGGAGCAGCCACGTGAGCAGCTCTGGTCCCAGAGCTGTTGGCAGTGCCCTGGCGCGCGCCTGGCAGCAGAGGGGTAGGACCAGAGCAGAGGCAGGCGACGAAGGGCACTTCCAGCGTGGCACCAGCTCTGCTCCGAGGCACAAAGACCTGCTGCTCCGCCAGGACTGCTCCTCACTTCTCCATGAGAGATTCCAGCTGCTCCTGCAGAGAGGTCATCTGGGAAGAGGGAGAGGTGTCAGAGCAAGGTACTGCCCGTCCATGCTCGCATGGACTTTCCCCCTCTGCAGAGCCTGCCCTGCCCCATGGCGCAGCAAGCAGGGCTGCTGCAGCAGGGGCTGCTCTGGAGAACCCGGCTGGCACCAAACTGCTGCTGCCCGACGTGCTCTTGGCGTGGGGTTTTAGCTCAGGAGCAATGCCAGCACCCCTGGGTGTACAGCTGGGTGTGCTCACACACACAGCTCCGGGTGAGGTGGAACCCAGCCTGGCTTGCAGCACTGGAGCTCAAAAGCAGGCTACATGGTACAAAATTCAGGAAACTCCATGAGGCCAAACGTAGAGCTGTGACTTTCAGCGGAACCTCCTTCCCCAGGACTTCCCGCTCCATCAGGGAGTTTTCTCACCTGCTGCTTCTCTCGCTCCTCCTGCTGCTTGAACTCGTCCAGCACGGCCTGCAGGCGGGTCTGCAGAAGCAAACACAGCAGAGCCTGAGCAGCGCCAGGCCCAAACTGTGCTCCCTGCCAGCCACCCCACGTCCCGCAGGGCTCCCGGCTCGCCTGGCTCCGTGGGGAAAGCTGCAGCGTGTGGCCACACTGCAGGGATTTTTACCTCACCCACAAAGGCCTCTGACATTCCCAGGGCAACAGCTGAGGCAGTTGGCCGGGTCCGAGGCTAAGCTGCTACCGAGCAGAACACAAGCCTAGAAGAAGAGGCCCCAGGAGGGCTCTCACCTTGAGGGCCAGGTTCTCCACCTTCATGATGAGATCCTCCTGGCGCTTCCGCCTGTCCTGGGTCTCCTGGAGTTTACTCTTGAGGTTGTCGATCTGTTTCTGGATGCCCATGACTAGAAGAGGGAGCGAGCTCAGCCCCGCAGCGGTGGCAGAGCCGGGCACACGATCCCGCTCTGCCCGGGGCTCACCGATCTGGTTGGACCCCTCGTTCTCCTGCTGCTGCCCATCCGACTCATTCAGCTTGTCCTGCAGCTGCCTCTCCAAGTCCTCCTCCGTGTCCATGATGTTCAGGTCCTCATCATCATGATGATCCCTCTCATCCTCATCTTCGCTGCTGCTGCTGATGTCGTTAAATATCTCCCGCAGTTCGTCGTGCTCTAGATGGTGCCAAGGGAGAAGAAAAACCCACAGATGGCAACAGCCCAGCACCCCTCACCTACTGCTACAGCAAACGGGGACCTGTTCCAGCCACTACAGGCTTGGGGCACACCTGACTTCGACCGTCATCCATCCTCATCTCGCTTGTGTTTGCCCCATGCTTATCCCAGGGGGAATGGGGCCAATGGATTCATTTATGGCTAGGAACAAATCGATAACCTTCCCACTGTACCTGAGGAGCCATGGCCCTGTTTGTGCCCGGACATCCCTGGGGAGGAGATGTCCAGGCTCGTGAGGGAGCCGTGGTTATCCACTTCTTTAGTTTCATCTTCAGCAATGACTTCCCAGCCTGGCAGCAGCAACAGGAGGAGAC